AGTTTCCAATTTTACCATGGACGACTAGCTTCTTCTGGCCCATTACAATGGGAGTCAGCCAATCATACTTGTCAGATTCTTCAAGTTGGCTGCTTGGGTGGGATGGTTAATCACATTGGAGAAGCCCTACCCAATAACTTTTTCAACACTCACCTCAATTGGGCCCAACCTTCTACTCTCCATCTCTGTTCTATAGAATTGTCAGTTCGTCATGCCCTGTCTGCTTCCTCACTTTCTGCATGCGAGGTTCTATCAGTTTTGGGTATGTGGTCTTCTATGACACCACTAGTCCCCCAAGGTCATGCACACACGTTTCCTACAGTGGACTCTGCACGATCAATGGAACCTTGCTTTGGATCCTTTGGATGCTTCTCTTACACATTTTCTTTCCCTAGCAGATGATCTGATTTGGTGGTTAAACAAGACTCGCACATCGGCGGGAGTCCCGCGTTCTCTTCCTCATCTGGATTTACATCTGTTTACGGATGCATTCCTTCAGGGCTGGGGTTCATGGGTCGATCACCAGGAGGCTTTGGGTCGTTGGTCTGTGGATGAGCAGTCATTCCATGTCAACGTCCTAGAACTTCTATCCCTCAGTTGGGTTTTGGATTACTTCCTCCCTCTAACCATTGCCTGGTGATGATTCATTCTGACAATTCGAAGGTGTGGCATATATCAATCACCAAGGTGGTACCTGGTCGAGATCCCTCTGATTTTGTACATTGGATCTCCTCTATTTGGCCCACATGCACCATTTAATTGCGTGTCATGTCATGCGTGCTTTCAGTCTAGCGGCAGATCGTCTTTCCTTCCCCATTTCCCTGTGGCTTGGCAATCAGTGGGGTTTTTCCTCACATTAATGCATTTGCCATCACCCTGAATCACAAGTTACCCCTCTTTTGGTCCCCAGTACCTCATCCTCAGGCTTTGGCTATCAATGCCTTCAGCCAAAATTGATCACACAAATTCCTATATGTTTATCCTCCTAGCCAATTGCTTCATCTGGTGGTTTCCCTAATCCATACCACTCCGTGCCGGGTCCTTCTGATAGCTCCTTATTGTCTGGCTCAACTGGGGTTTCCTCATTTACATTAACTCTGATTATTCCCTCTTGTACCACTTCCCTTATTCCCCAATCTCCTTTGTCAAACCCAGTCACCGGTTCTACACCCCACTGTTCACATGCTCCATCTTCATGTCTGGCTTTTGTCCATTCCTTGGTGAGGAGATTTGGTTTCTCCTGTCTTGTAGCTTTTCATTTGGCTCAATCCATACGTTCTTCTTCTATGGAAGTATATCAACGGAAGTGGAAATTCTTTCACACATGGTCCCATGCTCTAGGATTTCCAGCTGCTCGACCTACTATGGATGGTGTCTCAGAGTTTCTCACATGGCTTTTTCGACTGGGGGTCTTCGGTCTCCTCGATTTCAGATTTTGGGCAGCTTTGTCCCATACTTTTAATCTTTTCCATTACCCTAGAGTCTTTGCCTCGCCCGTCCTTACCATGTAAATCTGTTCATTCCTGATTCGTCGTCCTAAAGTTATAAGATGAAAACTGTAACAAACACAAAATGGTTACGAGGTCTGTTCCAGGAACTGAGCCTGTGCTGAAAGAGTTAATCAGAATTCTAAAGCCAGGATTATCCAACAGTGTAAATAGTCTCATATTCTTAGCCACAAAGATTCAGATAGCTGTTGTTATTTCTTTTGCCCATTGATTGTTCAGGTTTAATTTCATTTTAAATGCCTCCTAAGGTTTCAGGTGAGGAGTACTGTGCCCTTTACTGCTTACAATTTATATTTATTTTCCCTCACTTGTTGTAACATAATATCATGATTTCTTCTCAAGTTTGTGGCTGTATTTGATGTTATTGCCATTTTATAATTGACAACCACCTCACAAATTTTATTTTTTCTTTTTGAATGATCAGTTTTTCTTACTCAGTTTTTATCCAAAACTACAAACCCAAAATATTTTCAAACAGTTGATTTGTAGGACAAAGATGTGTCCTCTCTTTTATGCTTTGACTAGTCAACCATTGTTGACACAGCATGTGGTTGTTTGGTTTATTGTTTATTGAATTTGATACACAGTATTCATGAAAAACCCAACTAAAGGAATTTCCAAGCTGCATTACTAAAATTAACAAAATGTGTATTCAGAATGGTTATATAGTACATAAAATAATCATGTGCTTGCATGAAAAAGTAAATTGTAATTTGTATTATTTAAAGCATTTGTTTTTATATAACATGAAAGGACATTCAGAAAATGAAGCAAAAAAATGAACTGAACTGCAGCGCAAATGAATCATGTATGAAACTGTAATGAATCATTATGGCCCTGGTCCATAGTGTATAGAACTTCTGAACAGTCAGTGTATGTTATTAATACCCTGTAAAACATGTTCATAGTACATAGAACTTCTGAACAGTCACTGTATGTTGTTACTACCCTGTAAAACATGTTCATAGTACATAGAACTTCTGAACAGTCACTGTATGTTGTTACTACCCTGTAAAACATGTTCATAGTTCATAGAACTTCTGAACAGTCACTGTATGTTGTTACTACCTTGTAAAACATGTTCATAGTACATAGAACTTCTGAACAGTCACTGTATGTTGTTACTACCCTATAAAACATGTTCACAGTATATAGAACTTGTAAAGAATCATTAAATGTTATTATTGTACATTGAAAATATTATTTTAATGTTATGATGCAATGAAATACAAAAGTTAAAAAGCCTGTTGTATTTGGCATGATACAGTAAACAAAACAAATTCATGGTTGTACATGTTTAGATTCAAGCTTAAATATTAGCTACTTTAGTTAACCTGCACAAGAGTGTGAAGATTTATCGGCATGTAGATAAGTATAAAGCTGAAACGGTTTTGCAGTAAAACCAACAAAAGATCATTACTTGGTTGTTTAAATTACACATTCACTTTCTTAATTATAATTTCTAGTTGTTTTTATTATGTTAATTGTATATTTTCTGTTATAGAGTACACATAACATGATTGTTGAAGATTACGGAATTCCTTATTGGGGATCATATATTATTTTTGCTCTTGGAACCATTCTTCTAGGAGCCATATTGGGTCTGGTAAGTTTAAGTTTATCAGTGCTGTATTTTTTGCTAAAATTTCAATTAATCCATTCCACAAAACTTCTAATGGATCATTACAAAGTACTATTCTACTGGTCAAACATGAGTTGAATTTTAAAACGAAATTCTGTAAACTCTAAAAAAATGATACACAAAAAGTATTGTAGTATGCTGTGTTAAACGTATTATTCAAAATTTATTCATTTATGTTTCTGTAATAATTAATGATAAAAATATTGAGGTCTCATTAAAGATAGATAGTAAATTTTTCATACTTTATAATACTAACTAATATTTTCAGGTAGTAGTAGGTGAAAAAGACAAATGTAAAATTTACTTGTATATGAGTATTTATTTAATTTTTAGTACCTCTTAAAATACAGACTTCAGCCATAGACGTAAAAGAAGGCAGCTTACTGTTTGCTACTTTTATGTATCCAACAGTTTGATGTGACAAAATGCTATCACATGCTGAAATGTTTTATATTTGTAAATTGAAATAAAATAATTTAAGAAGATTATCCATAATTTTATGGCATTAGTTGGATATTTTCTGTTTCATCATCTGTACTGGGTGTGGAATATATTGCGTATAGAGAGGTTAATATAACTTTAGGCATGCACTACTGCAAAATCTTACATGGAAAAAAATTCTTTATTCTGGTTGAAAAATGAAAGCTCTAGTTCAGTGTTTCCCAACTTGGGCGGTACTGCCCCTTAGTGAATGTTTTTAAAGTTCTGTGGGCAGTAAACTTTCAGGGGGTGGCAAAGAGATTGACAGAAAAGACTTGAGGGTTTCAAATTTATATTTATTTAAATTAAACCATAAGAATTGACTATTATTGCTTTACACTTTTAATTTTAATAAAATATTTCAATGGTCCTAAAATTTATTAGAATGGGGCATGAGTGCTCATTGTTTGCTGAAGGGTGCGCTGCGGCATAAAAGGTTGGAAACACTGTTCTAATTTAAAACATTTTCATTAATGTAATATCCTCTTCAAAATATTCAAAGTTGTCTTTGTCATATCGTTTAAAAATCAATAGTGTTATTTAGAAGTGGGACTTGAATTCATACTTTTCTGTATTGAATTTTGACTTTATTAAGTGCACAAGAAAAGTTTTATGTATAAATCATAATATTTTATTTTGAAAACTGCATGAAATGTTCATGGTCTTTTTTCATTTCAGATGATTGTTTGTATCATTGATCTCATCTTTCCTCCAAAAGCTACTTCATTCACATCATCTAAAAAAACAGATCAATCTGATGAAAATCAGGAAAAAAAAGTGGTAAATATTATAATTATTAGTAGATCTACTGATGTTATTTAAAACAGAAAATAAATGTTTTAAGGGCTCACATTAAGAATGCTGTGGCATTAGTAGTCTTTTAATGCTTATATTATTGTATTAGCTAAAGTAAGAAACTGCTTTAGGTATGTGTTCTTTTGTGGATTATCAGCATTCTTGACATACTTTGTTTGACATTCTTAGTTTTTTCCTGATTAAGTGCATCAAAACTTGAGTTTTAAAATATTATCAATTACTCTTCTGCTTTATTTAGTAAATCCCAGTTTTATGAGGTACAAATAATTTAATCAGTGTTGCCACATCTGTTGTTGCTGCAACTTCTAAACAAGTTTTTGTTGAATTGTGCCCCGATGTTTTGTATGGATCAGAGTAGATAGATTGGAGATTAATTTTGGTTGTGTTGGCATCTCGAATTTTTATCACTAGATTAATAACTTGCAAATTAGTTAGGGATCTATATCAATAAAATTTGAGATTCACAAGCAAATGCAAAAGTCATAAGTCTCACCATGCAGCACAATATTATGATTTTCATGACTAAATTGTTAGGTGGGCTTTAAAAGATAAAAGATGTACGGAGTAAGTTTGTACAAAGTGTGATTATTAAATTTTTCATATTGAACTGATAATATACCTTTGGAGGGGTTGCTAAAGAAAAAGAAAAAAACTACACTTTTTTCCAATCCAAAATTTCAAAATTAGTATGATGTACTTGCTATGTACTATGTACAAACATATAAATTAGGCTGAGCATTTGATTTATCATCAAGAATTTCCTCTGTTTGTAGGGTTTTCTTGAATAAACTTTGGCAAGTGTGGGAAACATTATAAGCCAAAAATGCATGTTTTAAAAGTATATCTATTCTTGAGCCTTTGTTAATACATAGGATAATTCAGGCGTAGTTTTTGATTTATCATTAAGAATTTTCTCTGTTTGTGGGGTTTTCTTGAATTAAGCCTGGCAAGTGTTTAAAACATTGAAAGCCAAAAATATATGTTTAAATTTTTTTTTAAATCCTAAGCCTTTTTAGTCTGTATGATAATTTAGGATCAGTATTTATTATTAAGAATTATGATATGGTACATTACCTCCACTCATAAATAGTTATTCTCATTCAGTGCTGCCCTCTATATGCAAAATATGTTTTTGTGCATGCCACAAGCCTTGACGTTCCCACACATCTGGAATTGACAATTCCAATGCGTCTCGCATGCACATCATCATCATGCGACAACCCTCCACCGATAAGAGTGCAACATACTTTCTTGACATGTGACTCTCTCTATTCAATTCTACCAAACTATCACTTCTCATTTGGCAGTACTCTTATTGTAACGTTTAGTTTGTGCTCTCTTCAAGTGTTTTATTTTAACTTTTTTCCATATCTTTGTATTAATTTCTCTCAAAAAGTTAACCAACATACGTCCTCACACATGTATTATAGATGTCTCTATTCACTCACTCATTTATACTCTTGTTACTCCATATGTGTTTTGGGTCACGGTGGAGGTACTTATAGATTACTACGGTTCTCCCCCTTCTGCTATCCCTCGATGTTCTTATTATTTCCGAGGATGTTACTGCGCTTGGGGTGGTTCATGTCATTTTTGATTTTGAGTGAGGTGGTTTATGTTACACAGATGCTGGATCAATCAATTTCTCACAACGTTATCATGTGTTCTGTTCGTAGGTCAGAGGGTACGAGATTCTCTCCAGTCTCATAAACTTGAGGTGAATACGGTATGATCCTTTTTCCTACTTCCACCAGATGGCTGGGTTTTGAATTGTAGTTGACTTGCCACTGGTATGATCCTCTTTCCTACCCCTGCACTGATGTTGGTTCCTGGAGGCCTGGGTTTTGGATGTAGTTGACTTGTTGTGTATAGTCCATCGCACCCTAGCCACTCTACACCTGGAGACACATCCATTTACTCTCACCCACATTTATGTATTATGGGATTGAGATTCATGTATAGTATGGTTCGGATCACTATCCAACCATAGTTCTCTCCCTATTGGACGTGCTACTCCCTATTTCCGACCCTATCAGGGACAACTTTTTCCATACTGGGCAAAGAGTATACCTGATACAGAAGTGGTGCGATCTCCCATGTATGATCTTTGACTCCAAAGATCTCTTTGGGAGTGTCCTTCGGAAGTTTTTTTCTTTCCCTCACACCAGCCCTTCCACTTGTTCAATGTGGGGTTCCAGTTATTTATGTGAGGGGAGGAAATGTACCATATTAGAAATTATATTTTTCCTATACTGAAAATGCATTTCCAATAAGTATTTACCTCCCACCCTTCCTCCCCACTGAAAACTGATGCTTCCATTTTCTGCCTAAACTCAAAGTGATAGTTTGGTAGAATTGAACAGAGGGAGTCATATGCATCAAGAGAGTATGTTGCACTCTTACTGGTGGTGAGTTGTCACATGATGATTTGCATGTGAGATGCATTGGAATAATCATTTCCAGATGGGTGGAAGCATCAAGGCTTGTGGCATTCCAAAACTTTTCTTGCATATAGAGGGCAACACTGAACGAGAATAGCTATTTATATGAGAAGAGGTAAGTACCTATCGGAAATACATTTTCACTATAGGAAAATTATAACTTTCCTTTGTTTGGATTTTTCTTTTTTATTATTAAGTTTGAGAAATGCATAAAACTGGAAGCCATTAACCAAAGATAAGCTCCAAAAGGGTTGTTATCAAACATTGCCTTTGAATTTCACAGAGTTTTAGTGTCTGAGAAAAAATATATTGCTCCAACTCAAAGTATTGGTAAGATTTCTTTAACTTATCATAAATGGTTTGTTTTTCTGAGCATTAATTTTCTCTTTCTGAACCATGTAATGTGTATTTTCAGATGCTAAAACGTTGCAACCAATTAAAAATTTGTCAATCTTTTAATTCTTCATTTTAAGACATTTTGGAATCTCACTCATCATGGTCGTATCTAAGATAACTCTTAATCAGAGTAATGTCATAAAACAGTTAGCACTTTTCCAAGCTTTAATGAATAATGATTTGAGGTAATTTTAAATGATGGCAGTAAATACGGAATTAAGTCTTTTTCACTTTGCGAGTTCAAAAAACGTGAAATAAATAGTTTATAGTTGTAGTATTTAATCTAAATTCAGCATTAATTTCTCTTCGAAATGCAAGTGCTTTGTTATAGTCCCGAGGAGCTGGAAATAATTTCTTTTTTGAGTTAGAAGTGTCTTCACCCTGTTTAAGTAACTTAAAGATATGAATTTCAGGAGGAAGAAGACTTAATAGAAGATGACAATACCAAAGAAAATCAAGAACTCAGGAAGCGAAATACAGAAATAAAACAAGATGGCTAGTGAAATTATTGCCTTAAAAAATTAGGGGGGTCAATGTTTTTTTGTAACACTAGAAAGTAACTAATTATGATAGGCTTAATAAGGCTTTTTCCTGCTCAAAATGCCACAAAATTCCACTTTTTGCACATAACTTAAGTAACGAGGGCATTTGATAGCTAAAAAAAATAATATATTTCTATTTGTTGCACATTTCAGCTTTTCTGTTTGTTTTTTTACTTAGTATTCAAAAATTGTCATTTGTGTAAGATGCTCAACCTTCTGACTAATATTATTACAAAAGCTAGAATGCTGTATACATGTATGTGTTGTTTGTTTTCACCTTGCTTTGTTTCCAGTTTTTTTACTATGTGCATATATATATAAATAAAAATGGGCCTGAAAATTTGGTAGTCAATAGACAATGTATTCATTCCAACTTTAAGCTGAGTATTTTAACATGCATGACATAAATATGTACGTATGGAAACATATGTTCAGTTTTGATGGTGTAAAACATTTCAGTAAGAATATTTAGAATGTGATATGCAATTTAATGCAAACAATTTTAATCAACTAGGAGCTAACTACTAATTGATATTTAAAACTAAAAAATTAATGTAACTAGCATCTTAAGAACCTGATTATTTGAGTAAACTTAAATATGACTTATTTGTGTTTAATCTGTCAACTACACTATTGAAAGAGTTTCATTATACTGATGTCTTCACTGCATAGTTTTAGAGACTATAATCTTTCATAGTCTCGGTTAACTGAGTTTGTGTCTAAGTTTCATTATACTGATGTCTTCACTGCATAGTTTTAGAGACTATAATCTTTCATAGTCTCAGTTAACTGAGTTTGTGTCTAAGTTTCATTATACTGATGTCTTCACTGCATAGTTTTAGAGACTATAATCTTTCATAGTCTCAGTTAACTGAGTTTGTGTATAAGTTGTTAAATGTCTTTGTTTAGAGTTAATGGAAATAACTATTAAAGTTGATTAATTGTGTCCATTAATTAATGAAATGGCCCTGAACTATTCAAAATAAGTCATCTTTCTGAATTATTAAAAAATTATTCTAACGTGTTAACATGGAATTACAAAAAATGTTGTTTTTGAGATGTTTTTACAATAATTATTCAGCATATACTGCTAGAAACATAAAACAAAAACTGAGTGGATTTTCAATATTAACTCTCACTGTCACATTTATAGATAAACAACTCTGTCTTAATATTTCAATTCTTGAAACTCGTTACCTTTGGTGATACAAAATCCTAAACTCCAGAGGGGGGAGTATATGTGTCCATGGCAGTGAAAGAGTTAAGCTTGATGTGCATTAATTTGCCAAACTTGTGAAAACATTTTAAGCGTAAAGACAAACAAGATGTTGTTCTTGTTAGAGTATTTTAATTTACTTTACAGTATGTTGCTATTCATTCTGCAATGTGATCAATACTGGAATTCAGGTTACTCTTTTGTATTTTGGTTACCATACTGCCTGTGAATCCAAGGTTGAAAGAAAGAAATATCAGAGGGTAATGTTTTACTAAGGTAACAGAATAAGCTAATAACACATTTGTTGAAATCAGAGTATTATTACAAGCATAAGCACAAAATATTATGGTCTAGATTGACTTAACATGAATCTTGAAAACCTAACATATATATGCTTTTAATTGAATACTAATAAGTATAAGCTTCAGAAGTTGTCCAAAGTTTTTGATAGTGATTGAAGTTTTTTCATTATTGTAAAGTAGAATTTATATTTTTTTATATTCTTCATATTCTTGTTTATTTTGCTTACCATACTGCCTGTGAATCTGAGTTTGAAAGAAAGAAATATCTAAAGGTAATAGAAAGGAAACATAATATGCTAATAATATGTTTGATGAAATAAGAGTATTATTACAAGCATAATCACAAAAGATTAGTCTGGCCTGGAGTGACTTAATATGAATCTTGAAAACGTAATATGTGTATGCTATTAGTTAATACTAATAAATATTTGCTTCAGAAGTTGTCCAAAATTTTCAATAGTGATTGAATTTTTTTCTTAATTGCAAAATATAATTTATATTTTCTGTATATTATTCATATGATATATAAATTAAACAATGAAAATTCAAATTACATATCACATGCTGTGTACCACTTGAGTGGTATATTTTTTCTAAATGAAATACTTGAAAGATATAAAGAGTAGAAGTTATGAACACACAATTAAAACCACTAAGATCCTTTTTTTAGGTATCTTGAAAAAACGACTTTGTTATTAAACTAGAAAATATTTTTTTAGCTAATCCTGTCATACGTCTGTTAACAGATCATAGTAAGTATTTGTTTGCTTTTGAGACATATTTTCATTTATTCGTGAAAGTAAATCTGAATTGGAAAAAAAAAACGTATTGATATTTCTGTTTACACATGGTTTAACTTACTATACAAGAAAGTAACTAATGTTGCTCTGCTGTTGGTAACTGTATTTAACAAACTGAGACTTTCTTTATTAAAAATTACAAGTACATCATTGCACCAGAGAAATAATCTTTTTCAGGAAGTTATCTTATCCTAGAGTACACTTCATTACTCAGCAATAATAACATCAATATAAAGAAGTGTTTCCTTTAAAAACTGTACAGGTGTTTGATATGTGTAATAGTGACTTAATTGTTCTCTTTAATACATTTTCAATGTAAATTTCAGAGTTTCTTTAGCAACATTGTTTCTCATCCTTTTTCTCTTTTAATTCTTACACAGATGGTAATCAGAAGTTTATCTGAATTGTTGGATCTGTTAAATGTTTTAGTTTTTTTAAAGCTACATAAAATAAGATAGCACGATATACAATGCTGTTATGTAGGTTTTTATGTGTTCATTAACAATTGCTTGATGTTAAATATTGTTAGGATTTTCACAAGACTTCTTGAACAAATCACTTTTCAATATTCCAGGAAACTTAAAAAAAACACTTGAGGTCACTGGATCTTCATGTTAAACAGGACACAAAAAATCTACATGACAATATTTTTTTTTCATATAACCTTTTATAACTGAATTATAAGTTTAGTCTAGTACCCAGTTTTAAACGATTTGTGGTGATGTTAACATTTTTTGCTTATCTTATTATATTGCATTCATCTCTTGCAGTTTGTATTGTTATCCACTACCATCTGTTTTAGTAAAATTTGAATAAGAGAGTTTGATATCAAACCACTGCAATACTTAAAGCTATCTCTAAAACAGTGCAGTAGCTGAAGAGATTAAGCAGCCAATAAGTACAGAGTTTCTGCAAACTAGCCTAAAATTTCATGATAGTTTGCAAGTGAAACAAAACAATATGAAGTACAAAGAATTTCTGATGCATGTTTTGGTGTTGTGCTTTTTCATTCACTACTTTCCAGAGTCTTGTTATTGCTATTATTCAGAGTCGCATAACAAACCGAGTGTCAAATATTTGAAGTTATTCGTACTCGTAAAGCATGTTAAAACTGATTTTCCATAGGAGTTCATTATCCAGAAAGCTATTGTACCTGAATTGGAGTTTGGGACATTTAAGTTTTTGACTGTGAAAATATGTTGGTAAGAACACTCATTGTTCTGGACAGTATATGTTGCCAGCTGCTAATGTGAGCAATAATGACTGTTGGTTTGGTGGTGGTTTACTTGAGACTGTATTTGATCTTGCTGAAACTGGTACTACAGATTGTGTTAAAATTTGAAGTCATCACTTCTGCATCAACAAAGTTTTTTTTAACTTCTAGACATTTAAATCCTTGCAAAATGAGTTCCATCAGCTGCAGTTTGTGGATCTATTAAGTTGGATCAATATTTTGGTAAGGCTCTGACAACCTGTCTCCTAGAGTGTATTAAGAACTGCTGAGTTCAAATTTGTAACTTTTTGTGGTACTTAAAACTTGTTATTTAGTTGAATGGGAAAGTTTTATACTTGAAACATTGATAGAAGTATTGTTGTTTCTGTGGAACTTTAGACAGAGTAGACACTGTAGATTTGATAACTTTGATGGACTGTAACTACCTGTTGAATGAAAGGGGGATGATGTTTTGGGTACTAATTGAGGCCTTTTTTTGAATTAATAAGAGATATGTGTTTCGAGAGAAGTTGCCTTTGCTCTTTTAACAATAACCGAGACCATAATATATTACTAACGAGTGTTGGAAATGTATTTTTTCAGCATTTTAGTTTTTAAGATGCACCAATAAAAGGAGTGTTAGCCTATTCTTATTAGTAAGCTATTCTTCCTTCTAGACATCTGTGTTAGCCTATTCTTATTAGTAAGCTATTCTTCCTTCTAGAGATCTGTCGCAGCTTTGATGTTTGAAACAAACAACAGAAAAGTTATTTCAATTCACTTGTAATGTTGCTTCAAAATAACAGTAATTCTTTACACAGCAAGCAAGTCCTAACTGATCATTTATGGTCATGAAGTTTAATCAGTTTTCCAAATAATTATTCTGTAGGTATTTTTGGAAGTAGGTGGAGAAACAGGATGTTTGAAAATTGATCACACCTAGTGGAGTGTGTTTTTTGCTACTACTGTTTAACATCAACCTTTCTTCAATAATCAAGATTATTTGTTACATCTAAACTAGTATCACTATTTTTAAAATAATACAAAAATGCGTTTGTCACGAGATTTCGTTTCTCTTCAATATTATATTTGTATTGCATTGCGGGGCATATTGAAGTGTTATGGAATACAATAAAGTTTTTAAGGGATTTTCTTTTTGTGCAATTAAAAGATATTTAAACACATGGGATATTTTGTGCCAAAATGTATTTTCAGAGAAAGCGTTGTTTGTTTTGAACGTTAAAATTGGGTTTTATGTGCAAAGCAGAAACATTGATGTAGGCTTTTGGTATGAAAAGACTTGTAAGTCTGCCAATTAGGCTTAACTCATGGTGCAAGGGCTTATTATTTTAACTACTGATTTTTATAATCTGATTGTCCAGCAATTTTTCAGTATTACCTAAGCATTTGATGGTATTATTGAAGAATATATGATAACAAAAATGCATGATGAATGGCATAATACCTGTCAATTGCCAGTGCTGCTGATGAAGTTAACGGGCAAGTTTTTGTGTTACCATAACTAGTATGCTATGTTTGTTGGAATGTAAATTCTTATCACAAATAAAAACACTGAGTTATTTTGTGTAAAGTCTCAAATTTTCTGGAACAAAATGTAACTTGATATTCTGTGATGTAAATATAAGTTGGTCACTGTTAGTAAACTGAAGAATTTCTCTTCAAACAATAGAATTGCTCCCCATTTCAGCTTTTAACGTTTAAATTTATCGACTTGTACTGTTTAGAATACGTTAAAATATTTAAGTGCTAATTTATAAAAATTGCCAGAGTTCCTTTTGTGTGAGAGTGAAACTTCCGAATGAACCTTTGTGCACAAAAATGCGAATGTAAAGGTTATCAGTTAAAACCTAACCTACTGGGAGTACTTGCTGGACAGCAAGTGTTATTGTTTATTATTAATCTCTTTTTTTTTTCCTTCAAAGAATTTTTGTTTTGGGTGATTGAACTCAAAAAATATTTTGAATTTGTCATCTTACTGGGATGAACACGAAATGGCCAATTTCTTTTAAAAACTGTGTTAGGGTATATTTGAATGAGACTGAGGTCGCACCAACTGTGCAGATGCTGCAATATAGTGCGACACAGAGAACTGTTGCATGCCCTCCCCCATTGGCTCAATGGTATGTCTGCAGACTTATAACGTTAAAAACCGGGTTTCGGTACTCGTGGTGGGCAGAGCACGGATAGCTCATTGTGTAGCATTTTGGTTAACAACAAACAAACAAAAACTGTTGCCACAAGATTTAATGTAGCCCCCAGTGTAGTGGCAAGATTTTGAAGTCGTTATCAAACCATCAGGTCATATACCAGGACAGTACACGTGCCACAACTCAAAGACAGGACCGCTATTTTGTGAACTGAGCGCTACGGAATCATCAAAGTACTGTTAGAGGCCTACAAATGGACCTTCGTCGTGCAATCGGTGCCCGTGTATCTTATCAAACTGTTCGTAACAGACAGCATGAACGTGGATTAAGAGCCAGAAGGCTCACTCTTGGCCACGTTTTGACCATACAGTACCGTGATGCCAGATTAAACCATACAGTACCGTTCTGCCAGATTAAACTCTGCTCGTTTACACCACAGCTGGCAGTTTCATCACTGTACTCTTTACAGACAAGAGTCGGTTTAATGTCTCCATTTGTGAAAGACGTGCTCTGTGTGTTGATACCAGGGTGAACGTCATGCAATTTGCATTATCCAAGAATTTGATCGTTATGGTGGAAGTTCTGTTATGGTCTGAGCGGGGATCTGTCTGGAAGGTCACACTGAGCTAATTTTTAATGATGGAAGTTCCTTAACTGCACCAAGGTATCGAGATAACATATGGTCTGAGCGGGGATCTGTCTGGAAGGTCGCACTGAGCTAATTTTTAACGATGGAAGTTCCTTAACTGCACCAAAGTATCGAGATAACATTCTACAACCTATTGTAAGACTTTTTTTTGTAGGTGCCATCGGAGACAATTTCATATTGGTGCAGAATAATGCCAGACCTCACACCAACAGGTTATCCATGGATTGCTTAGAGCAGCAAGGGAGCAAGGTGGTGGAGTGGCCAGTGAGATCACCGGACTTAAGTCCCATCGAACACGCGTAGGACCAACTGTGTGGACAGATTCGTCACTGTGCAAGTCCCCCTGCCAATGTTGGGGAGCTGCGACAAGCCTTGACAGAGGAGTGGAACGCCATGTCTCCAGGCTATATCAGAAGCATCGTCAAAAGTATGCCATGACGTTGTCGAAAGTGTATACAAGTTCAAGGGAGCAGGACTGCCGACAGGGGAGGAGGGGCAACTGCCCAGGGTCCCGGGCGAATGAAACCTGTCTATGCCGTAAAGCCTGCAAAGCTATGATTTTGTCTGATTTATGAGCTTGTTGCTGTCCCAATTTAGGATCTTATTTTTAATAAATTCTTGAAAAAGTTAAAAGTGAGAGAGAGAGAGTTGGCCCAGCGAGGATGTTTGCCCCGGGGCCCGTGCTGGCTCTCGACGTTCCTGCAATGGAGTCATACCTCTTAATAGAGATTACTTGTGAACTTAAAGTTTTATGTTTTCATGGATTACACTTTCGTTAAATATGTCATAATTTCTTTGGAAAACGAAATCTCACCAAAGTTTTAGTTTAGAGAAGTTCATAATAAAGGCTTCTTCATTTTACTTAACATTTCTGTTACTTTCGTTATTTGCAGAATCGTTCAGCCCCTTTTGTTTTGTTGATCCCTTAATTATTTTGAGCAGCGTAATATATCATGTAGCCATTCAATTTAAATTGCTTAGGAATCTGAAATTTCATATTCACCATAGTAGAATAATCTATTTCAATATATATATATATATATATATATATATATATATATATATAC